AGAGACAACCAAGTACCGTAATACTATATTTTGGCTTTGTTTAAACCACTTTTTTCTTCAACAGATTAAAACAAACCAAAATAAGCTACTCTTAACTCCTACTAGCCTACACCTACATTGACCTATCTAGTTACACCAGCTAAGAAATGATACATAATGTTAATTAACGCATGGCTTTTTGCATGTCAAACAGGCCTTCCCTGCAGGACCTTGGGGATGCTTTGCTCAGCACCTTGAAATTGCTGCTGCTACAGAAGTGAATTACTTTTTGAGAGGACAGATGGAGGTGATGTACTCTTAGACCCTGTGGGCCGTCAGAATGACAGCAAGCCCCTCTCTTGCTTTTGGGGGGCAAAACCCAGCAGCGCTGACAAAGCACCGGTGAGCTCACATTCAAACCTCAGAGGAGGTGAAGAGCTATCTCTTCCCTGGAAAGGCTGCCTGGAGTAACAGGAAGCCCTTGAGGCATCCAGGCCCAGTGTGGGATGAGCACTTTGTTCCACTGCATTAAGAAGAGCAAACTTAAGCTTGGAGTTTGGACTGTTTTGGAATACAAGTATAAACAGGAATTATACCCAACACATACTTTGTACCTTGCAGTGACAAAATGTGCTTGGAATTGTTCTTTCCATTTGTCTGTCCCTGGTTCCAAAATAATGATTCAACCTTGTACACGATTCAGAGCTTTTACCTTACAGGGGTTATTTTATAGCCACATGTTTGCAGAGATGTGAAAGTCTTTTGGCCACAAGGCCATACTCAGCATTTAAATCGAAATTGTATGGATAATATATTACAAAGAACCATATCAGGAATTTTGAACCTTCAAATAAGATACTATTTAGAGCAGCTTGGTTCTATTAAAAGAGAGTGCAGCAGAAGTTGGTGAAGACTCATGGTATCCCAAACAAAGCTCCAAACCGAAGACAACCCCTTCCACAATCCCAGTGCGATGTTAATCAGCTTCATAACACTACAAGTAATATATACCCCCAGGTCAACGCAGTCAGCTTTCCTGAGTCAATCTTATTCATTCTGCCCTTGTGTTTGAGCAAGGAAAGCATTAAAAACCTTCTGGGCTGACCCTGAAAAGCAAGGCTGTGCCAGTCCACATCATTAAAAAAGAGAGAGCGGAATAGCAGCACGGTTTTTATTGGCACTGCTTTGTGTAACTCACTCCTCGGTATTCGTGGCTCCAGAGCATAGCAATTGTGGACAGGCTGCTGTGGAAGCATTTTGTGATCCCGTGGCAAAAGCACCAACGAGGGCTGGCGGTTTTACCCATCAGTCGTGCCTCTCCATCCATGCCCTTGTCACCCACTGCTGGGACTGCCTTGCCCTTCCCAGGGTGTGTAGTTTCGCAGCAGTCAGGGACTGAGGCTCACTGAGGTTGAGCTCAGCTGCTGGGCAAGTCGTGTTGTTGCCCTGGGGCATAGGACAGATTTGCTCATGGAGCCATGCTGGCTGCCCATCAGGGCTCCAGCACCAGCTGGGAGCTTGGGAGGTGCCATTTGGGGCCCTCAGTGCTTCTTCCCACTTCAGAATACAAAGCAAAACGTATGAGAGCAGCTCCTCAGTACAAATAGCAAGGTTACAATAGTTTTGGCTGTGGCACAGAGTCCTTCCGAGGCTGTTAACTCTGCTTTCTAGTGGGTGCTGTTTTCCCGTCTCGCACGGGGTGGGGCTCCCACCATGCACAAGGCAGCTCTCAAGATGTCATCCCACTGCTCCCAGGGCTTCGGGGGCTACCAGCTCTGGTTCCCGCAGCAAAGTCATGTTGGCAGGGCCGGGGTTGTGCAAGGGCCACCTCCTTTGCAAGGGAACAGGGGTGCAGGTGATGCAAGCCTCTCCCAGACACAAGAGTGGAACCTGTGGCAGAGCACGCAGCAAGCTACTGGCAGCGCAGAGCGCTGTGCAGGGACCCTGCCTGCCGTCGGAGCAGGCAGCGCAGAGAGGGGGTGCTCATTGAGAGGGCAAGGCCCCTCTCCTCAGGCAGGGTTTCTGGGAGGAGCAGGGGCCCTGGCCTGTTGCTCCCGCCAAGGCTGCTGTTTTCTCTTTGGGCTGCTCTTGGCTGCCTCCTTTGCAGCTGTGCTTTCCACATCTGAAGGGACTTTTCAGAGATGAGTGAAATTAGTAAAAATTAATATAATTGAACACATTTTGTTTTACCAGAGAGACTGTTTGTGGTTTGCAAAAAGACATGAAATGTTACAAAATATTTTATAACAGTACCCTACAGAGATGACTTGTCTATAAAACACGAAATAAAACTGGCAGGGAATCACCACATTGATTTAATAAAACATAACATTAACTGATACCAAAAAAACAATCTAGTTAAGAAATAGAAAACTTTACAACCTCAGTTATTTGAAAAATATAGGGGTAGCCCAACTATAAAATTGAAAGGAATCATTAGGGTAATTTGCATTATTTGTTTCACTGTTATTCAATGTGAAGCCATAAATCTATTGGGTTGCAATTTCTTTGACTGTACTATTCTGTTGACTGATCCTGCTCAGAAAAATTACGAGACGAACTGGCATTTTAAAAACACAGATGGGTTTGCAATTCTCATTTAGAAATATTTTTAGCTGAGCCAAGCAAGGATTCAGAGTTTATGAAGCATATACCATTTCATTGTATAATCACACACACATTCTTGACATACCCTATGGATCAAATCAGGCAACTGGAGGTATTGCCTCGGTCTAACCTAGGCTTTGCAAGCATATGAACAATTGTATTGCTAATCCTGTCTGTCTTTTAAGTGAGATTTTTGCAAGAACATCTGTGCACAGAAGAGGGGAAACAAGTACTAGGATGCTAACTTAGAAGACAGTCATTTATTCACAGGTATATTTTTGTACTGGTGCAGTCCACAGGAACGCTGGTTAATGAACCAGGACTCCAGTATGGCTGGCACTGTACAAATGCGAAACAAATGCAAGGCTTGGAAGCAGTCTCGGTATACCGCACTGAGTGCCTGAAACAGAGAAATGACAAGGAAAGCCAAAACAGTCAAAGATGGTTTTAATCATTTTTAATCATTGCGGCCTTCTGAGCAATAGCTTTTAGGAGGTAGTCTTGAGGCACCTCTAACCACAACCAACGAAAAGTTATTGTCCACCTGAGTCCTGGCTTAACCCGTTGTGCCATGGGGCCCAGAGGAGCACCACCACACGGTCTCTGCTGTTGTGCATGTCACAAACGACTTTCTGAAAAATCACAGGTTGTGCAAATGGCTGGGGAGGTGGGATCATTCTTAATTCACACAGAGAGGTGAGCACAACTAGTGAGATGGCAAGCAAGCTCTTATGATGCTGCAACTGATATTATTTTACTTGCAATACCACAGTCCCAACCCCTGAGTCCTTAGGATGGGAATCTTTGGTACCAGATCATCTTGATGTGATATGACTCTCAGCAAAAGCCTCAGCATTTATATAAGGCACTACATGATCCCAAAGATGAGCTGAAAAGGCCTATCCCATTATTGGATGGGTCCTTCCTCCATTCCTCTCTATTCTCCTCACTGTCTGAAGTGTCCGTTTTATCATGTCTCCTCTAATAACACAACTGTTAAATCATGTGCTCACTTTTAGAGGTACCACTCCCCTGAGCACGTCACTAATTTTCCCATCTCCTTCTAAAACTAAGTACAGCACATTTTGGGGGGGGGATGTCACAAAGCCTTCCAGCTGCCTCTTTACAGGCAGACTCAATACTTGAAAGACACTTTATGCGCAACAGTAAATACAGCTACTGCAATCTTTTTTCCTAGTATCTAAACAACCACAGAAAAAGGGAAAGGTCCTTTTTTGTTGGTGTATGTTTTATAACAGTGCCTAGCACAATGCATTATGGCAAGAACCTGAGGTTCCTAAGTAAATTAATATAAATGAATGAATTAATAGAACTAAGCAATTATAACAAACGGAGTAAATGCATACGAGCAAATGATTCAACCTTCCACCTAAAATGGTGTGTCATCGTTCTAAAAAGAGGAAACTCCAAACGCCAGCATGTAAAGATGTAGCATGCTTCTTCCCTTAGGCTAAACTCAAGAAAAATTGGCTGGACTTTCCTGGAGTTAACAGCAAACAGGTCACATTTATCATCCTGACACTTATGTTCAAGAACTAGCAATTTTATTGTTCCTAAATGGGAATGTTCAGCCCTTCTGATACTGCAGAATGGTTGAGGTTTATATACAATCTTATCTGCTAGAAGTGACTAATATTAGAATAACTTGGCACTATGATCCTGGCATTCTTGGAAAACTGGTGAGATCCCAGTTCCAAACTGTAATGCTTAAAGGTTGCTGGTAATTTCAGCTGTGTTCATGTTGCTACTATGTTTTACGTATATAGGTCTCAGATAAGTTACCCACCAAACAAAAATTACTCGACAAATTCTCCATTAGTCACCTGAGTTGTTTTTTCCCCTTCCCAGACCAAAATTTCTTTAGAAAAAGATGATTATTTTCTCCCCACAGCTATAAATTCCTCTGCCAACTCCTCTGTTACAATGCAGTCTGCTGGGCATATTCCAGAATTATTTCTGAAGTTTTCTCAGACTTCCATATAAGTCCAAAAATTCTGCAGTCCTGCTCTACGGCAGCATGACGCAGCCGACCCTTACTGCTTGGTGTACATTTTTGAAACACCCAGCTCCGCTGATGCTGAGACGTCAATTACACCAACTGGTAAATTAAGGACACAATATTCACACAGGACTTTGGGCAAGCACTGTCACAATAACTACAACCATCTCTCCAACAACCGCAATATTTTGTTGCAAACCAACCTTCCCCAGAAACAATGCGAAGAGGAAGTATCAAGCCATCCCCACATGTTCTAGCATAAATCATCTCCAAAGAAAGGAGTGTTGTGGGGCAAGAAAGCAGAAAAAAAACCCACAGCAGTATCTGCGCAAAAATACATGAAGGGCACTAAACAAAACAACACTCCTCCATTGAGGGCAAAGAAATTACTCACAGGCTCAAAGTTAAGCATGTCCTGAAGCACTTCGCAAAAACAGATGCACCACCCTCAGCACTATGGTGCTCATGGTGACGGCTTCCTCCTAACACCTGGTGTCACGGATGGAGTGTGGTTCACGCATGTGCCACAGAGCAGAGGGGCAAGGGAAGCATTTGTTCATGGCCTGTGCATCTGTGTTCCCTGCTAAAAGAGCAAAGACAAATTAGCCAACAATAACAGTGATTGTTTTATTGCCATCTCAGTAGACGTTCTAATAGAGTAAATAGGAAAAAGAAAGCTCACTGGAGAATGGAAAGGTCAGAAGGCTAATAAAATAAATGCAGCTATTGTGTGTTCACTTGGCAATTCATAAGGGCGTGTGATTTTCTTTTCTTTTTTTTAACAGTGAGAAAGTCAACTGATGAATCTAAAATGAAATTTCAGTTTTTCACACAGGGCTTGTTATCGAAAACCATGTGATTGCCAAGTCAGGAGATTTACATAGGCCACAGCTTTAGGCTTATGCTTGCTAGTTTTCCCCTTAATATTATTTATGGTTTTTTGAGTTTTCCTTCCAAACAGTTTTGGCTATCAAAAAGAATCAGTGCAGTTCATGACAAAACGTTGGCCAGAAAAGCAATTTTGCACTGAGAGCACTATACAGCTCTTATAGGGCACAGCTGTCCAGATGCTGCCCTTACTTAGTGCTGCCAGCTAGGTAATTCGCTGTTTTTAATCTTTAAGCTCATAAGTGTTCCTTTGCCTGTAGCCAAACACTTGCTGAAATGTTTGGTTGGACTGGGGCTCTGAGCTCTGATTTAGCAGAACACTTGGTACCTGGTTTATTTCTGACCATACTTGTCTCCAGCAAAACATCTACACCATGGCTTTGCTGGAATCGGGAACCCTGTTGCTGCTTATCTAAGAGTATACATATACCTGTATACATATACAACTATCCTGTGTATCTAAGAGTCACTCGATACAAGCAATTTGATTCTCTTACAGTAGAAAAACAACCACAGTCCTGGAAAACGTGCCCCCACAGATAAGGAACTTTAATGTTGCTGCCTTCGCTAGAGAGGATGCGTCTGCTCCCCCTGTCGTCCTGCAAGGGTCAGGACTCTGAAGCGCTAACGGTAGCCCGCGGCTATGAAAGTGTGGGCGCCTCAGGGGGATCTAAGTACCTGAGGTGCTTGCTCTGCATCCAAGCAAGACACTTAACTCAGGCAATGTGTTTGTCTGGGCTGCCAGACCTTGGCTCTCTTCATAGTCAGTGGAGAGAAACAGTCCTCGCTCTGAAGTAAGGCAGCTGCTATAGGGTATCTGAATACTGGCCACGGTAGTAGGAAGAGCTGATTACCACCGTGACAGAGGCTGAGGGGAGAAGGCAGCTTGAAAGGTGCAAAGTTAAGTTGTATGGCCACTTAACAGTGCAGGATTGTTCCCAAGAAACAGCAAGAGGAAGTCACCTGTTGCTAACCAAATTTTCTTAGATTTTGCAGGAAAAAACACTCAGACTAGATCCCTGCATTTTTATAATAACCAGCACACTTCCCACTGATGGAATCCTATGCAAATGTCAGCTGAAACAGTAGCATCTGTAAATGGTCTAAAGGCCCACAGAAAAGGCCTGGTTTAAAACCCATGAGAAGAGCTGCATCCAGGCTTCCTGCACAGCGCGTTGATGCAAGTATACGACTCCAATGCTCTGCGGTGGAAAGAGGGCAGTGCTTTGATGGGATACACTTCTCTTCAGAGGCTCCAAAGGGAAACAAGTAGCTGAATTACCCGTCATATTAGAAAAGAAGGGATTTTTTTTTTTTTGAGGCCAGGGGGTGGGGCATGCCCTAGATGGTATATATTCCATGTTTTAAAGACTCCACCTTGGGGCCCTTCACTTTATCCTTTGCTGAAGTTATGCCACAATCACAAATAACTCTTTTTGTGCTCTATCTACTATGTCACATACCTATTAATATATGCCTTGTATGTAATACTACATCCTGCCTCAATTTCTCTAAACTTTATTTCATTCCTCTAAAAAACACCAGCTTGAGATTCTGCAAAGAGCTAATGGGATGTCGTGGTAAGTAAGCAGGGGAGTATTAAGTGACAGTAGAGGATGTTTTTACCCTCTGCACACAGGACTTGTGAAGCCAATACAATCGGGGCCTTAAGTACCAGCTTGAGAATTACACATCTAAAGGTATGGCAGAAAAACTGGAGTAGGTTCATAGCAGGTCTTTGGTTGGTGTTCATGTCCACGCAATCAGTAACAGATCATACACGATGTGCTACCAGGCAGCTCAGTTAAATAAAGCAAAGCATGAGAGGATGAACTGGTTTATGAACACCTAAATTCAGTTTTTACTCTGCAGAAAACCCCACTACTAGCCACATACAATTTGTCTTCTTGGCAACCTGATTCTCCTGCTCACATTAGTACTACAGCTCCTTAGGCTTCCCATGAGAGTTGCAGGGGAGTATATCAAGTGCCTGTCTGAAAACCAGGCTGGCCTCTTTCAAGCCTCTTATTCTACTGAACAAAAGAAAGACTGCACTGATGTAATGTAATGTTTTGTGGACTAATCGTTGCTGTTTATAGAGCAGAGATCATCTCAGCTTTTTGAGGATGTTTTGTATCATTTGGGAAAGAAAAACTAGTTTTTCCATACACTTCAGTGCAGAGGTTCAGAACAGCCAGACGCATTCTACTAATTCATGAGGAAGACAGGATTACACAAACTGATAAGAGGGAGACAAGGATTTGATCCAAGTCCTCAACTTCTGGAGGATCCCTATCCAGAAAGAAAGGTAAAAAGTTTAGAGCAAAATGTGGGAACTGAAAAAGGAAAAGAAAATACACAAAATTCACTGGTTTTAAAACACGGAGAGCACTGTGATCACCCGTTTCATATGAACTCCTGCATAATCCAGGCCGTGATATGATTGATTTCATCCAAACAAATAGGTGGTTAGTTTCTCTACAACTGTAATTACAGGTGTATTCAGAATAAGGGTATTAACTTGCATGCCAACCTAGCAGTATTTTACCAGCATCACCCAACAGCACATTCACCTTTCGGGAACACATTCATAAACTTCCTTGTAGACACTGGATGTGAATTATTGTCCGTATGTGCAAAAACACCTCACGCTCGGCCAGTATATTAATTAGGCAAACTCAGAAGAATATGGGATGCACCAGACCTCTTACTAGTTCTCTTAGTATACTGCTATTAAAACTTCCTCTAAATCAACAGCCCTAGAGCAAGAACTGCCTCAGATTTTTCAATGAGGTCTCATTACCAGTGATATTAATGGTTGTGCCTTAGGGAGAGCAAGCAGACAGAGCAGTCAGTCCTATGCAAAGCCAAATGGTCTCCTACTTATAAAGAATGTCCTTTTCATATAAATTTCCATTTCCTCTCATGCCAGGGGTTCAGGCAATGACCTTCTAGACACCACCACAGTCTCAGCAGTAATTGCTTGGGCAAAATGTTATGCCAAGTTAACAGTAATCTGCTAAAGAAGGGCTCACACCCTATTAGCTCACAGATGTTCTAACCCAGCGCTATTGATGGGACATCCAAAGACCACTGTCATTTTGGATGGGGCCTTGAAAAATCTCTTTCCGTTCTCAATGAAACCAGTGGGAGCGCTGCAAAGTCGCGTCAGACCTATCGCCCAGGGAGATCTGATTCGTCCAGTTACTACACGTATAAAACTCCCCACTCGACGAGTAGGGCCCGTCTGCATTGTTACCTGTTTCACTCACTAGCTTAGACTGACCTGAGAGTGAAAAAAAATACAAAACATTTCTCAAGATATTCACACCTTCTCCAAATACATATGACATTTTCAAAAAGGAGTAGGAACAGCAGAATTTTTCTGGTCTCCATTGCTTGTGTCCTTCTGAAGTATATCAATATTCTCTCTCTCCAGGAAATTAAGACTGAAATTGCCTGAAGGACTTGTGAAGAATGACATTTTTATCTGATATTCTGAAGCCTGGTTTTTCATCACTATTCACCTCAATTCATTCTATCACTATTCATCATCAATACTCACAGTGTTGTGAATACTGAAAAAAGAACTCATTGATAGCATCAAAAAGTTCAGCTCTCCATGACATTTCTACTTCCCTTTGTTTGCGGGTATCCTCCCACATGGCTGCCTAAATTCTGCCCAATGCTATCAACAGCGCATCAGTTAGGGAGGTTTTGCAGCTCTTGGCTGCAAGGAGCTCTTGGCTCCTTGAAGTCACGTCCTTACTGCTGTACCAATCGAGCACCTAAGCGAACAGTTAAGGCAAGACATGTTAGGCTTTTCACTATGACTCCTGTAGAAGCCTTGTTCTGCTGGGGACGAAGGACAAGACCAGCAGTCAGAAATGCTGAGACTTGCCTTATAGAGAGATCACTGAAACATAGTCAACTTCTTATACTGTGTCACTCCTGGCAATATCGAAGGTGACTGACTTAACATAAGTTGGTGCTAAATGTATTTGTTGTCTTGCTCATGGTGATCTGTGATGTGAAATTGCTGTGAATCAGGAAAGGTGGATGTTTTGAATTTGGACTGTCTATACATCAGACGATAAACCCAAAAAGCAGTTGTCATGCAGTAACGTACACCTTCCAAATCAAGAGGCCCAGATTTGTAAATGGCTATTCTGACTCAGTTTTCGTTCTGAGAAAATATGCTACCATTTCTGCTTTCATTCTAGCACAAAACAAAATCCAGCTTTCCAACCTCGAACACTGCCATGGAACAGCAGTGCTGTGCTCTGGCATGCTGTTTCTGCCAAGCCAAAAGAGAGGCAGTCACTCTGTAGTGAGGAAGGGGAGGATGAGAGAGGTGGGTTTATCCAGTCTTCAGAAGAAAAAACTAAGCTGGGATCTTATCACTGTCTTCATCAACCCATTGGAAGGGTAGACAAGATGGAGCCAGGCTCTTCTCAGAGATGCACTGTGCTACAACAAAAGACAACAGACACAAGTCGCAATAGGTGAAATTCCCATTAAATATAAGGAATCAAAATTTCACCATGAAGGTAGTCAAACCCTGGCACAGGTATCCAGTGAGGTGGGGGAATCTCTATCCTTGGTCCTGTGTAACCTGATCTAGGTGGACCTGCTTTGAACACTGGCTGGACCTCTGGTCCCTTCCAACTTAAATTATTCTGTAATTCTGCAAAG